GCTCCTATTTTACTTGTCAAAAAACATGACGGCTCCTGGAGGTTCTGCGTGGATTACCGTGCCTTGAACAAGCTCACCATTAAAGACAAATTTCCAATTCCGGTGGTCGAAGAACTGCTCGATGAGCTTCACGGGGCCCGGTTTTTCTCCAAACTGGACTTACGTTCAGGGTACCATCAAGTGACTTACGTTCAGGGTACCATCAAGTGCGCATGCATGCTGATGACATTGAGAAGACTGCTTTTCGGACTCATGAGGGTCACTTCGAGTTCTTAGTCATGCCCTTTGGGCTATCCAATGCACCGGCGACATTCCAAAGTCTCATGAACACAGTGCTCTAGCCGTTCCTGCGTAAGTTTGTCCTTGTGTTTTTTGACGACATCTTGATCTATAGTCCCTCTTGGTCGACGCATCTGCAGCACATCAACGCCGTCTTGACTGCACTGCGTGACCATCACCTGCGGTTGAAACGCTCCAAATGCGACTTCGCAACGACATCGGTACATTACTTGGGACATGTCATCTCCGCGGCTAGTGTTGCAATGGATCAGGAGATGGTTGCAGCCGTCGCTACCTGGCCCCAACCCGGCAACGTGCGTGCACTCCGGGGATTCCTCGGCCTCGCCGGGTACTATCGTCGGTTCATTAAAGATTATGGCTCGGTGGCTGCCCCGTTGACGGCGCTTCTCAAGAAGGACGCTTTCCTGTGGTCGCCCACAGCCACGGACCCATTCAACACCCTCAGAGAGGGCCCTGTCCAGTGCACCGGTTCTCCAACTTCCTGATTGGGACAAATCATTCATGGTCGATTGTGATGCATCCGGCTCTGGATTCGGCGCATTTTTCAACAGACGATTTGCAGCTCGGCACCACAAGTTAGCCGCGTATGAGAGGGAACTCATCGGCCTTGTCCAAGCAGTTCGGCACTGGCGTCCGTATCTGTGGGGCAGACAGATTATTATGCGCACAGATCATTTTGCATTGAAGTTCTTGTTGGATCAACGGCTCTCGACAGTTCCCCAACATCAGTGGGTTAGTAAGCTCTTTGGGTTTGATTTCACGATTGAATATCGGCCGAGCACTCTCAATGTAGTTGCCGATGCGTTGTCTCGAAGGGAGGTGGACGACCTGCTGCTTCATGCAATCACGGAGCCTTCCTTCCAGTTATTCGACGATCTACGCCGCGAACTGCAGTTGGATGCTGACCTGCGTGCGTTGCGCGACTCCATTGTGGCGAAACGTGGCGAGCCCTGGCGTCTCGCCGACGGTCTCATCATGCGCGGTGCCCGTGTGTTTGTCCCGGCGACGTCCACGGTCCTCCCCGCTGTTCTCTAGTTGGCGCACGGTGCTGGCCATGAAGGCCAACAGAAGACGCTGCAGCGGCTTCGTCAGGAGTTCGTGATCGATCATGATCGTCGCCTTGTCCGGGACTTTGTGAGTTCTTGTTTCACATGTCAGCGTAACAAAACAGAACATCTGCACCCGGCTGGTCTCCTTCAGCCTTTAGAGGTTCCCTCACAAGTTTGGTCTGATATTTCCATGGATTTTGTGGAGGGGCTTCCGTGTGTACATGGGAAGAGTGATTCTAACGGTGGTTGACAGATTTTCCAAGCAGGCGCATTTTCTTCCGCTCAGTCACCCGTACACTGCAGCTTCTGGTGCCGGGATCTTCTTTAAGGGCGTCGTCAGACTTCATGGTTTTCCGGCGTCCATTGTTAGTGATCGTGATCCAGTGTTTACGGGGCATGTTTGGCGCGATCTCTTCAAGCTCGTTGGGGTCAAGCTCAAGATGAGCACAACTTTTCATCCTCAAACCGATGGACAATCCGAGGTGGTCAATCGCACAATTGCTATGTATTTGAGGTGTCTCACTGGCGATCGTCCTCGTGTTTGGCTTCAGTGGCTTCCTTGGGCAGAATACTGTTACAACACTTCATTCCACTCCTCCCTTCGGACGACGCCATTTGAGGTGGTGTATGGCCGGCCTCCACCGCCTCTGTTGCCTTACGCTGCCGGCACGGCACGGACAGACAAGGTGGACAAGCTTCTCTGCGATCGTGACGCATTTCTCGCCGATGTTCGTGATCGGCTGCTGCAAGCCCAGGAATATGCCAAACGGCATTATGATGCCCACCACCGCCCTCTTCAGTTTGCGGTTGACGATTGGGTTCTCCTGCGCCTTCTTCATCGGCCGGCTCAATCTTTGGTGCCGGGCTTCCGTGGCAAGCTTAGTCCACGATTTGCTGGTCCGTTTCAGGTTATTGAGCGCATTGGCGAAGTGGCATATCGTCTGCGTCTTCCGGAGGGAGCTCGGGTTCATGATGTGTTCCATGTTGGGGTTCTCAAGCCGTTTCGGGGAACTCCGCCCTCCACTACACCGGCGCTTCCTCCTCTTCGTCATGGCCGAGTGCTTCATCGCCCTGCACGCGTGCTTCGTTCTCAGTTGCAGCGCGTGTGTGGCATGTGTTGGTTCAGTGGGAGAACTTGCCGGAGGATGACGCCACTTGGGAACCCGTGGATGAGTTCCGTGCTCTTTTTCCTTCGTTTCAGCTCGAGGATGAGCTGTTTCCGAAGGAGGGGAGAGATGTTATGACCGGTACGGTCTACAGGCGCAGACACCGTGGCTAAGAGCCCGGCTAGTCGGCCCAGTTGGTTAGCAAGTCCTAAAATCTAGGATACTTATCTCTTGAGTTTGTTATTTGGTTAAGTTAGAGTTGAGTCGGTTAAAGATTTGCTTGTATAAGTATTGAACAATTATGATGGAATAGATTTAGCCTGGGATTGAGTTCATCTCACCTTGGGCCCTCAGGCGTTACTGTTCACGATCTCTCTATTGCCACCGAACCCCAGCCAGGCGCCGAGCACGGTGCCGCCAGTTCATCGCCGGGGTTCCAAGCCCAGGCCTCTCACCTCCCACTCATACGCCCTCCGATCCCTAAGCACCAACAGCAGTCAACACCAGTACACACAGGTTTCCACTTCAATCAAACAATAAATTACAACCTCTGCGTTGAACTGCCAAGAGTTACATGCACAATGGATGCGGTTATGTTTAGCAACTGACAATAAGATATTTAGCAGTAGAACTCTGAAACAAATAAGATAATTCCACAGGTACAAAGATTTACAGTGTAAAGCAAGAAATATATAAATAAGGCAGGGCCTATGAATTGCTGGTAGCAACCAAAAACAGACAAGCATCAAAGCCCACCAACTCTCCAGATTGCACACCTACATCATATATCAGCTTTTGCCACATTGGCCAACCAGAAAAAATAAGTATGTGGCCATGGCGCCTTGCCACTTAGAGTAGGACATGCTAAAATCGTTGGTGATTTGAAGACTTGAAAACAACTCTCAAGCTCTGATTGATCAGATTTATGACACTAACTCCTAATATGACAAGTGAAAGTGTGTTTTTCTGAAAGATAGAATGCAGATGCACTTTAGCCATGAATTGTCATTTTCATGTTACTTCATTCACTTCTGACTTTACAATTTATTGAATATAAGTAAGCCACAAAAAGGGACTGATTAGAACCTCATAGTCAGCTAATTTTGTTTTGGATTTCACTCAGATTTTGGGCCAATAGATAACTAACATGTCATTATGTACATAAAAATTTGACTACTTCCTAAAAGCATTTCAGTCAAGCTTTCAGATCCCACCAACAATCTCAAATGTGACTGCAATTTGGTCCTAGGGCACAAATGTTACTAAAAAAACTAACCCAGGCCGTGAATCAACATGCAATCTGACAATTCTACCTATTAATATAATAACTCACAGTTCTCCTGCATATTGGAGAAAAAAAATTGGTACGAGCACAGTAAGGGCCTGTTTGGCATGACTCTGGCTCCTCTGAAGGAGCAGCTCCTCTGGAGGAGCTGAAGCCGTTCTGGAAAACGTTTGGCAAAACGGCTCCTTCGCACTAGACGACGTGAACCCACAGCAAGGAGCCGCGCGAAGCTTGTTTTTGAGGCTTCTCCTGCGTAGGCAAAAAATGGCTCCGGCTCTTGACCGGCTCCCCATGCGGAGCCCTTTCCAAAACAGGCGTTTGGCACAGCTCCTGCAGGAGCCGGAGCTGAAGCCCCTGCAGGAGCCCTGCCAAAGAGGCTCTAAATCTTACATAGCAGGCAAAATTGTAACAAAAAAAATAGATTTCTTTTTCTATGTCCATCAATTACTTTTACCAATTAGAGAAAAGACACAAGTCCTGTCTTCAACATACTACCTCCGTTTTCAAATATATGACATTTAGATCATAAATTAAAAACAGAGGGAGTACTATCTAATTCTGTGGTTATTTGTTTTGGTAACTATTTGCAAGAACCGGACTAAATAAGACATCAATATCAAAAGCATGTCGCCTAAAATGTCTCAAAGAGGAAGCAATAGTGAAAAGATTATAACTCCTACAAGGTAACTAATAACTATATAGAATCCTGAAGAATAGAAACACACTTACAACCAGCATGATTCTCCTACTGGTTAGCCATGACATTAGAGCACTATTTACAAAGGCATGGAACTTAACAAAGTACTCCAATACAAACTCAACACCCATGAAATGAAAATACCACATCTGAAACCAAATAACCATGGTATCTCTAAGAATATCACATTACCACTGTGCTTGAAAAGCAAATATACAGAACATATTTCCTGAAAAGACAAACAAATATCGCAAGAGGAAAAAAGACACTGAAAGGGCAGTGCTCAAAAGAAAGTTTGGGTGCTTGCTGGCCTTCCCAAACCAGATCACCCACGGGCCATGGCAGAAAAGCCAGAAAACTGCTGAAAAAGGAAGAAAAAAGACAACGACCTGAACTTGTAAGAAAAAGAACAAAAGGCCCACAAACAAACAATGGAAGAATCAGCCCACAACAAAAAATGAAGACTGAGGGAGAAATGAGTGCATGGGGAGAACAACAGTGAAAATCATGGAATAGATCGTTAGGACACAAAATCGACTGAAATGACAAAGTTAATAAGCCAACTAATGTTTAGCAATTCCATACTGCATATTTTTCAGGACAAAATTGTCAATAACAGAATAAGACACTGCAGAAAGGTGGGGTGCCATCATAGAAAATTTATGTTGCCAAGTAAGATGTAATGCAAAAATGAAATGAAGTCACAACAGGCAGAACTTATAAAGACACTGCAAAGTTGGACATTATCATCAGTACTGAATCCCTTTTGTTGAGGTCAGATAAGGCAGTTCAATTTTTAGTAAAAGCATGGGTTGCGAAAGCATATACCTTATATTCTGGTATGTAGACCCAGAGAAGCAAAAAAGTAACAAAGCTCACCTGCAGAAGATTTCAGCAGGATCCACACCCATGTGAAAATGATTCCTATGAATTCACCGTGCATCAGCCAATCAACTATCAACATTCTTTTTCTCAAAGATGGTTCACCCCATTCTGTGTACAGTTCAGTAGATGGATCATCACTAAAGTGTATCTACATCTAAGATTTCAACCATTTGAAATCAGTTCGGAAGTTACTTGCTTTCTTGTACTCCCTTTTCTACTCCTACAATTGTTAATGTCAAAAGGATGTGTCCTTGTAGCAGATTGACCAATAATACTATGTTTGAAAAGAATTTGCACTTGATCTTACAGCTGAAGATAGTGCCCTGTACCACTGACACAAGCAATCATGAGTGTTATTTCTTCTTAACAATTCCAACTTTCTTGTCTCATTCTTTGTGACTCCACTTCTTACTAGAATAACCTTTAGTGCCTGGAATGTTGCATCATTTGGTGGTGTGTTCGATGCCAACATCTTCTTAAATATTTTAAGAGCCTCTCTGTTCTTCCACCAGATACATACATTTGGATTACAGAATTGTAGCTTAGTAACTGAGTTAGAAGTCCTAAAGCTTGCATTTCCTTGCAAATCCTGTGAGCCACATCATAGCGACCAACTTTCTTGTATATACACACCATCATTGCATGTGAGAATTCATTGGCAATTCCCCTAACCTTCAAACCTTCAAAAACCTCGCTTGCTTCCTTCACCATACAATGATCACTATAGAGATCAATCATGCAATTAGATGCATAAAGGATGGCATTGGTATCCAATGATTTGAGTAACTTATATGTTTCTCGGGCCTCTGCCACATACCCTACTTTTGTGTAGAGCTTTATCAAAGAATTGTAGATCGTAACGTTCGCATATAAACCATCCTTTTTCATTAAACCAAAATATGCTGAAGCTTGTTGGACATTTCCAACTTCAGCATATGCATCAATTAAGATAGAGTAGACAAAAACATCAGGACGGACCCCTGACATGATCATTTCTCTAAATAGGTATTCAGCCATTCGTAGATCACCATTCTTAGCAAAGCTACTAATTACCACAGAGTATGGGATACAGTCTGACAGCAATTTCACAACTTTCATTTTTTCCAAGTAGTAAATAGCCTTCTTTGGCAGTTTAGCAGTTGACAGAAGTTGAATGAGAGAAGCATATGTCACATAATCAGGCAAAATGCCATACCTCTCCATACCATCAGCTATCTCACATGCCTCATCAAGCTTCTCTACCAACCCATATGCTTTGATCATAACATTGCATGCAGAAACACTGAGCATCTTCTTCTTTAGACAACATATAAAAGCCTTCTCTGCAAGAACTATGTATCCTTTCTCTCCAAATGCATCAATATTTGCAGAAAAGCATTCAGAATTCATATGGTGATGGAACCTGTCAAACCAACGCCAAGCTTGCTCAAGCATCCTAACATTTACATACATCCTTGTCAAAGCTGATTGTGTGTATTCATCTACCACGAAGCCCCTCTCATCCATTTCCTTTAGAAGGGCTTCCGCTTTAGTGACCATGCCCATGATAGAGTATCCATATAAGAGTGTGCGGCAGCTCACAACATCTGGTACCAAGTTTTCAGCTTTCATCTTCCAGTAGTAGTACTCTGCAATATCAATATCATTGCTTTCTCTGTACAGTGCGATCAGTATATTGTAAGTCCTGGTGTCAGGAAAGCACTGGAATTCCTCCATCATTCGAACCAAAGAAGCAACTTGTTCCATTTTGTGGTGCTTACCCCAAACATGGATCATTGAGTTAAATGTAACAACACTTGGCACAACACCTTCTCTCAGCATTTGGTTGAACGTATCTGATACTTTCTCAAGATGACCAGCCTTTCCATAAGTATCAATCAAGGTGTTGTAAGTATACAAGCTGCAGTGAGGACATCCCTCCTTCCTTGTGATTGAATCCGAGGACCACCTTTCGAAGAAAAGCTCAGCTGTTTCATACTCTCCAGCCTTCTTATGCGCCTGCATCACAATATTCATAGTGACCTCATCAGGCATCAAACCACGCTTGCACATGTCCCCAAGCCATAGCAAAGCCACCCATTCTCTCCCCCCTTGACAACAGACATTGATCAGCGTACCATACGTTGAGTTGTCCGGCGCCACACCAAAGGAATGCATCTCATGCCACAGCCTAAGAACGAGGTCCCACCTCCTTGCCTTCCCAACAGTATAGAGCATGACATTGTAGTGAATCACATTGAGCTCATGGCTCTGCTCCCTGCGAAACCAATCAAAGATCTCGACTGCCCGTCGCCAATCTTTCTGCTCCTTGAGGATGATCGTCCTCTCCCTGTTGCTCAGGGTGTCCTTCCACGCCCAGAGCGCTTCCCCAACGTCCCGGACATGCTCTAGTGCCTCCAGCATTGCCGGCAGCGATCCACCATAATGGACCCAGTTGCCTTTCTTCTTCTTCTTCCTCTGACAGTCTGTTTGGTAACCGTGCATGGAACTACCAACTCTGGGCAAATTTCAACAGTCCTAGCTGGCGCAGAGACTGCTTTAATCTGGAAGTTGAGAACATTCTCTCTCCAGGGCGCCGGAGCTGTAAGATCCGGCAACGGAGTCCGTGGCTGAGCGGGGACATGGAGAAAGCAATTGCACGGGGTCAGCATCTCTCCCTGCTGTTATTCACCCTGAAAAAAGAGTGCAGTCACAGTGTCGTGTCGTTAAGCATCTGGGAACAGATACAATAAATTCCATTCGAAATGGAAATCTACCGGCGTGAAATCTCCTACATCAAACCTAAAGTTTTGGCTCAAAATATTCGATTCTTATTCTAAACTTTGAACTCACCGTGGTCGGCGCGGGTTCACGACCCACGCGACGGGCTGGCGGCGGCGAGGAGCCCGGACTGCGGAGTAGGTGGTCTCTTTCACCGCTAGCTGGTGGCGAAACCTACGAGGCGCAGCTGCGGCTTCGGTGGTGAAGGCAAGTGCAGCCCCGCCGCCCGCGGGACGGGGTAGGAGGGGAGCAGGAGCAGGCGTGGAGCAAACACCGCGCGTCGGCCGAAGGCAACAAAGGAGCCCTTCCCCCTAGTAGGCTAGTACGCCAAGGGCTGCGGCAGCGGCCAGCCCGCCATTGCTGGGGAGAGAAGTTTTCAGTGCTGGGAGATAACAAGCAGGTTGCTCGTGCCTCGTGGGCTCACAATGGTAAAGGCTTGATAAAAACAAGCTGGGCTCGTTGTCACTTCTTGACAAATAGACCCATAATGGAAGCCCACTAAGAGCCCAGCAGAGCGGCGCATCAAGCAACCGAGGAGTCGAGCTGGAATGCTGGAGCAGCCCGCTTTCCAGGCTCAGCGGAAAGGTCGGGGTCGTTTGGCCTGGGTTGCGGACTAGCTGGTTGCAAGTTGCAAAGATACAGACGTACTCCATCCGTATCAAAATAACTATCGTTCTCGCTTCTCAAAAAATAACTTTGATTAATTTTATATAAAAAGATATTAATATATATGATACACGATTAATATCATTAGAGAGATCTTTGAATCTATTTTCATAATAAATTTATTTAGAAATATAAATTGTCGGGTTCATAAACCCGGGTCCCTCGTGGACCGGCTTCCCAGCAAAGGCTCGGTCCAGCAGATAACGTTGCGAACCAACGCGCAACTCTTGGACCGGCCTAAGAACCTAAACAGCAGGACAGAAGGGCGGTCCAATTTCTGACCGGAAGGCCTGGCCGAGGAGGAACGGCGTCCGCTTCCGACTCCGGCCCACCTCTCCGACCGGAGCGCTCGCTTCGGTTTCTAGCCCGCCTCCGGACGGCCTCTCCGACTGAAAGGCCTAGCCAAACACCACTTCCGACTCCGACCTGCTTCTCCGACCGGGGATACGTCGAACCCCTGCCACTACACCACAACCCTAATATAGCGTCATATGTGTGTCGCTATAAATATATTAATACCATCAAACCGTCGGTCGGTATAGATATTTGGCTGTAGCATCAAACAATCGGTCGGGATAGATCAATAAAGAGGGCGAACCATCAGTCGTTATATAGGGCCGTGTCTTTTGCGTGGGCTTAAGGTCCGTCCGCGGGAACTGAAAAGGAAAAAAAAAGTTCCATCATGGGAATCTGAAAGCAAACAGTTCCCTTCAGCGGTAAAAGTTGGGCCCAAATCTCGCTAACCCTAACCTTTCCATTCACTCTCCCTAGCTTAGCCGCATTCACTCTCTCACGCTTGCCCCCATCCTTCTCGTCGCGTGTGCGCGCCGCCCCCCATCCTCCGTCGCGGCGCGCCGTCGCTAAACTCCACCGCCTCCACCGCCCAAGACCGCCGCTACCATCGCCAAGACCCGCCACCATCGCCAGGCCAGATGCCGCTTGGCCCGGGTTTGGTGCCCAGCCCATGCGTCTTCGACCCCTTCGTCTGCGACCCTCAATTGCGATCGTGGCGTGACTCCTCCCCTCATCCTCATCGATTCCAACCAGCAATTTGATCTGGTTTCGTGGCGCTTCTTTGCATGATTGTTCGGATCCGCAACGACGTCTTCGCGGCGTGGGCTGAACCGATCATGAGGACGAGGTGCCCTGCGACGACATCGACGCCTGCTGCTGCCACCACGACGCTGCTACTATGACCACAACCGCTGCGTGGAGAACAAAGGTTACATTTGCTTGCAATTGTTTCCATGCCTGCCTTGCTGTGCTCATTGTTGTGAATGGTTCAAAAACATGTCAGTGCAGTGCAATGTCAATACTATGTGAATGGTAGGAAATAAATCGAGAAGTAGAGCGAGTAGCACATGCATTTTCTTTTGTGTTTTCTGTATTAATCAAATAGCAGTGAAAACATCTATAGCTGTGGCAACATATTGCATATTTAGTATGGAATAGGTGGTGATGCTGGACCATAGTTTTTCTCGTGGCACGCACACACTGACAGATCATGATATCCTAAATGATATGATTTTTGTGGGCAAGCGATGGTTTGGTATTGGCAATAGCCTGATCTCAATTTTTTCTGTGACTCTGACTTGTCACTATGTATCTTGTGTTCTGTCTTTTACTTTCATGCTATCAGTTGTTGTACAAAGTAATAGAAAACTGAAATGCCTAATCCCTTTATCCCCTGTCTAACCCCTTTATAGCTCTTTATATATGGACCAACATTATTGTTGACTTTCACAGAAACAGTCCCACCAGTCACTGCTTGCCTAATCCAATCACACCATTTCTTATTGAAACCTCTTTTTTCTAAACACTCAAACAAGAGTTTCTAATTCACCTTGTCATATGCATTTTCAAAATCTAATTTCAAGATAATACCAATCTCATTTCTTCTTTTGGTTTCATGTAAAATCTCATGTAGGCACATAATCCCCGATGTGATGTTTCTATTTTTCATAAAAGCAGTTTGGGTGCTACGTATCAACTTATCAGCTACACTTTCCAATCTCAATGTCAAAGTTTTAGTAATCAACTTATATAAACAATTCAATAAGCATATTGGGCGGAACTGTTGAATCTTGCTCGCCTCTTTTACCTTTGGAAGCAAAGTGATAATTCCATAGTTTAATCTACTAATGTTCACTTTTTGGTTGTAAAATCATCAAACAACTGGATGATATCCAGTCTGACAATTTCCCAACAATTTTGGTAGAATTCAATAGGTATCTTATCTGGTTCTGCAGCCTTGTTTTTTTTCCATTTGTCCTAAAGCTTCTTTAATTTTAGTTTCAGAAAATAGTCTACATAGCAATGCATTCTCCTCATCAGACACTGGACAACCCCTCCCATAAAGTAGGATCTAGCTGAACATTGTACTGGATAGGTGGGCCAAACAGATCTTAATAGTATTCTGAAGCATGTTTAAGTAAATTCTCATCTCCCTCAATCATACAACCATATTTTTCAAGGCTGATGATGTTATTCTTTCTTTTCCTACCATTTGCACATTTATAAAAATAAGATGTGCTATTGTCACCTTGAAGGAGCCATGTTTCATGGCTTCTTTCATACCAATACATCTCTTCTTCCTCTAGACTTTTCAAGTTTTCACTCATAAGCCAAACTTTCCTATCAATATGTGAACTATTCAAACCCCACTCTTCCTCTATGGCATCTAGCTCATTTAACTTAGATTGGTATTCTTTTCTCTTTTTTCTCTATTAAGTTTTTCTAAAACAGGATTCTCTAGATTATTTGACCAAGTAAACATCCCTCCAGCCATTATCAATTCCCTCAGCTCATAAAATTGAATTAGATCATTGAAAAGAGGAGTGTGCCTATGAACACCATCCAAAGAGTTTTTTTCTTTGATGTATCTGATGATATTAAAGTCACCTCCAACAATCATGGGTTCAGAATTGGAGGCACAGAAATGTGATAACTCAGCTAAAAAGGGCAATTTTTTTCTTCTTGTGCTGCACCATACACCACAAGTAGATTCCATTTGGTTTTAAGAATTTTATTCCTCAAATTTAACTAAATCATAAACTCTCCTTGCTTAAACAAACCCACATCAAATCTCTCAAGAAGCACACCCACCAAAATCCCACCAGATTTCCCCTTGGATGGATTCCACATCCAAAGGTAGTCTTGGTTGCAATCAAATCTCCTTAAAATATAGTCACTACACTCAGGATTCATTGTCTCTTGTAAACCAATAAAATGGAATTTGTATTCAAAGATAAGATCTTTCAAGAAAGTAGAGACCCCTTCTTTTTAAGACCTCTGTAGTTCCAGAATAAACCTTGAACTATCATTTTTCCTTTGTTTTTTCTTTTATTCAGATTCACAGGAATTTTTAAGTTCCTAGAATCTACCAAGCCTGGACCTTCCTGTTCTTGCTTCCTCCCCCCTTGGGAGAAACTGAATCTTTTCTTTTTTCCAAACTTGCATTTTTGTTTTGATTGTTGACTTAACATTTCTTCAACCTCGGACTCTTCCTCACAACTATCAATGGACTTAGCTTGATTTTCATCAGGCACAAATTCAACAATCTCTACACAACTGTTTAACTTAGATTGATTGGTCAGTTTTAAGTGCAGACAATTTCTAACAGTCTCTAATTCTTTAAGCATGTCAAAAGTTGAAAACTCAGTATCATTAATAAGCACACCCATATTCTTAGCCAAATCATTCAACATGTTATTATCAATACTAGCAAGAGTATGTGACTTGTTTGAATTACCTTCAAGAGATCTCTTTTTAGCTAAAGCTTCATTTTTCTCCATTGTAGTAAGATGAACATCTTTCTTCAATCTTTCACTTCTTCTCTCAGGTTGAAGAGTCCCAACTTGTCCACCTTCTCGAGTCTTCTCATCACTCCTTTCAGGTTGAGAAATCCCAGCTTGTCCATCATCCTTAGTCTTCTCATCATTCATTGCCGCCCCAATCACCACAGAACTGATCTGACCATCATGTACTGGTGTCATGTGTATTCACTACTTTGTTTTTTGGCCTAATCTATCTGTTGCACTACTTTGTTTTGCAATTCAGGACTCAACATACTTGTACATGTACTAATCTGATGTCATGTGTATTCACAATACAGCTGCACTGGTGCGTTGGAGCTGTAGCTGAAAGAATCTGCACATGACTGTCTACCCCAGCCTAGAACCGAAGTGGGCAACTTGCAACCTTTTGGAGATTATTTGAACATCCACAACATTGGCGGTTGCACTTCTTGTGCGTACCGGTACCGGTATGATCATCTTTCTGTATGCCATCTTTTTAATATTGTGTGTGGACAGGAACACGGCAATCGTGTTTAAATTAAAACCATTCCGTGGCTTCATGGATATGAGCATGATTGACAGAATGTAGCTACTTTGATTCTTATGGTCTTTTTTTATTTTATAGTTCATTTCTAAAGCTGCTTGATCTTTCACAAAGGGGAATGGATAAATCATGGATCGATAATGATGCTAGGTACACATACTTATTTCACAAAGACTGAAAGTTCTATTTGTAGTTAACATGGGAATTAACTTAAAAACTGCATGTAGGCACACCAAGATATATCAACAAGGGGTGAACAATTTCATAGCTTTTGCATTTGAGAATTCAGCGGTAGGAAGCAAGATACTATGCCCTTGCAGAAAGTGTGTTAACTCATTTTGGAGGGAGGGAAGTGAAGTACGTGAGCATTTGATATGTGATGGGTTTCTAAAAGGGTATAGAACATGGACCTTACATGGAGAAGTTAGCTCTTCTATGAATCATGAAAACTATGATGGTGTTGAACTTATGGAGGAGACTGACGAAGATGATAACATCTCTGATTTGCTTAGGGACTTAGCTGCTGGTTTAGATGATAAAGGGGATTTTGATGACAACAATTCAGACCTAGAACCCTGTGAGGAGCTAGTTGCCATTCAGAAGTTAGTAGCAGAGAATAGCAAAGAGTTATACCCTAATTGCAAGAAATATACACAACTGCGTTTCCTAATTAGATTACTCCACACCAAACTCCTTAGAGGGTGGAGTGATAAGAGTTTTAACCTGCTACTAGATCTACTTAATGATGCACTACCTGAGGGTTCGACACTGCCTAGAAACTTTCATGAAGCTAAGAAATTGGTGAAATCTATAGGAATCGGATACACTAGTATTCATGCTTGTGATAACGACTGCATTCTATTTTGGAAAGATAACGAGGGGTTGGATTCATGTCCAAAATGTAAGGCTTCTCGGTGGAAATCAGTAAGGAAGAGCCTAGATGGAAAACATGTATATAAGGTTCCTAAAAAGGTTCTCCGCTACTTTCCAATAAAGAAATGTCTAAAACGGATATTTCTATCCTCTAAAACAGCAAGTCTAGTGAGATGGCATAATGAAGACCGTAAAAAGGATGGTTTGCTTAGGCATCCTGCAGATTCACCACTATGGCAAGACTTTGATAAGAAACATCCAGATTTTGCTGTAGATAGTCAAAATATCCGTCTAGCATTTGCCACCGATGGTTTTAATCCGTTTAGAACCATGAATGTTAGCTATAGCGTTTGGTCTGGTATTTGTATTCCCTACAACTTTCCACCTTTAATGTGCATGAAGAAATCAAATTTCATCCTTTCTTTGTTGATTCCTGGTAAAAATGCTCCCGGTAGTGATATGGATGTCTATTATCAGCCACTAGTTCAAGATCTATTAGATCTATTTACCAAGGGAGTTAGAACATATGATGCTTTGAAGGGTGAGTTCTTTCAGTTGAAGGTAGCGGTATTATGGACTATTACTGACTTCCCAGGTTTAGGCTATGTGTCCGGGTCTGTGACATCCGGTGAAGCCAGATGTCCTAATTGCCACAGCTATACATGTTCACTTAGACTTGGTAATGGTACCAAGACTTGTTATATGGGTCATCATAGATTCCTGCCTGAAAACCACCCATTTAGGTTTGATGCTAATAAATTTGGTGGTAAAACTGAGTTTAGGGCAGCACCTACTCCACTTTCAGGGGAGGAGGTTTTGGAGTGCACTAAAGACCTTAATACAGTTTTTGGGAAGGATCCTTTTGGAAAGAAACCAGCAACCAAGAGACGCAAGGAAGGAGAGCCTTTGGTCATATTCAAAAGGAGATCTATTTGGTTTGAACTGCCATATTGGAAAGATTTGATGTTGAGACATAATTTTGACTTCATGCACATAGGGAAAACATATGAGTGAAAGCTTAGTTAATACATTCATGGGCATAGATGGGAAGTCCAAGGATAATTTGAATTCTCGTTTGGACTTTCAAGTTCTTGGTATTAGAAGTGATCTCCACCCTGTTGAAGTGGAAGACCAACTTTATTTACCACCAGCACCATATTCAATGAGTCCTGATGAGAAGAAATTATTTTGTAAAGTACTAAAAGGGGTGAAGTTTCCTCATGGTTATGCATCTGATATACGTCATAATGTACATGTTAATGAGAGGAAGATATTTGGGCTTAAGAGTTATGAGAGCCACATTATTTTACAACACTTGCTTCCACTTTGTGTGAGAAAAATATTGCCAGAAATTGTGAGTGCTGCAGTGATCCGTATATGTATTTTTTTCAAGACACTTTCCTCCCCTGTCATTTGAATAGGTGATATGGAAAGTTTAGAGGTTGAAATAGCTAAAACCTTGAGCCTTCTTGAAACTATATTCCTTCCATCCTTTTTCGATATCATGGTACACTTGATGGTTCATCTTCCTGCTCAAGCAAAGATAGCTGGACCAGTTCTTTTTCGCAGCATGTGGCCTATGGAGAGGTAATTTAATTAGGCATACTACTGAACTAAATTAGGTACCTATTAGTTTTATGACATTATCAATGTGCCTATTATTTATGTGTATAGGTATCTGATGAGATTGAAGGGTTCTGTTCATACAAAAAGTCACCCTGAGGGATCAATTATGGAGTAGTCTAATTTTACAGAATGCCTTACACTTTGTTCTCGCTACTTACATGATGGGACTAGCCATCAATTTAGAAATGAAGATTGTAGTACAACTCCTTTCTTTCGTAGCATTGGTCGAGGATTGGTCGGAAAGTGCATAGTGAGTATAGATCACAAGACATGGTTGCAAGCCCATAGATATGTTTTGTTCAACTATGACAATATACAGCCTTACTTGGAGTAAGTTATCTAGACCCATTGTCACACTTTACATCACATGATGGGTTTTCTCTGCATACTAAAGTGATAAAATGATGGACCTTGCAGCAAGCATGCTCACTATCTATCATCAATTGGTATTCAAAATGGACGGGACATCAGTCGCATGCATCATGAATCATTTCATGAGTGGTTTAGGTTGCATGTAAGTAATAATAAAACTTAACACAAGTTAGTTAATGTGGATTTGGCATTTATATTAATTATAGTTTGAAAATCACAGGTGGAAGAAATAGGAGAGGAAGCACCAGATGAGATAAAAATTTTAGCAAAGGGGCTTATGATGTTTGCACATAAGTATAGTAGCTATAACATAAATGGATTCAACTTTCACACACTATCCTATGATGAGGGTAGACCTATTCAAAATAGTGGGGTTGCTCTAGTTGTTGAGTCATCAAGCTTTGAAAGTGACAATAATGATAACATTATAATAGGAAGCAAGACATATTATGGTATTATAACTGAAATTCTTGAACTGAACTATCACCACAAAGGAAATGTGGTGCTTTTCAAGTGTGATTGGGTTGACAACCGTGTGCAAAACAAATGGGTAAAAACGGATCAATTTGGGACCACAACTGTGAATTTTAGGCATTTATTCAATACAGGTGAAAAGATATCTGATGAGCCTTTCATTCTAGCATCACAGGCAGTTCAAGTATACTATGTCCCTGAAGCAATTGATACTGACTGGGTTGCTGCTGTTCAGTCAGTCCAAAGAGATGTGTTTGACTTTGATAATTTGGAGGATGAGGACATAAATAATGATAATGGACCAGTTGTGTACATGCCTAATCTAAATCGCGATGTGACTGTGGGTATTATTAATGGGGTTGTCCCTTCTATTAGAACAGACATAGATGCTAATTTTCTATCTCTGTGCGCGTCTTTTTGCCCCTATCTGCATGAGTGTTGCTTTGCCTGTCTGCTAACGTGTGCTCACCCCTATCTCGAGCAAACATGCTAATTTCCTAATCGCAGCGTCGTTTCTTTAGCCCTATCTGCGTGGCGTGCTCGTGCCTGTGCATGCAGCACACTCTTCGCCTCGTTCACAGAGGAAGCTACTGCGGCCCCATCAGCACAGGAAGCTGCAGCCCCGTCCATGTAGCCTGCTCCCTCTCCATCTGTGCAGCCTACTCCTACCCCATCTACGCAGCGTGCTCCTGCCTCCTCTATGCACAATGCTGTAGGAAAATCAATTGATCTTCGTCGAGAGTGCAACGCTACTAGTCCCATAAAAAATGTAGCCCCACGAAAGAAGAATAAACCTCCTCGTGTTTCACCTGCTGACCTTATAATTTTCTTAATATAACCTTGCTTTCGGTTCTTGCAGTTCTATACATTTGTTTAATTTTTGCTGACAAGTGCATAAACCATTTCAGGTTGGAAAGGAGGTCACATTATATGCCTTGTTTTGGCCAGAAGTTGTGGCTAAGGCAACAGTTATTTCAACAAATCCAACCAATGTACTAGGAGACCGGCCTCTTGGAAAGCACTATTGTGAAGTTGTTGTGAAGGTTGTGATTAAAAGGGATACAGTGCTACCTCGTCCTTACGGTGACATTGAGACTTTGGCTGATGCTAAGTCAATGCCAATTCAGTGGCCATACAACAGAGTAATAAACTAAACTTTCTTTTGTTTCTTTTATTCATATATGTGATAAATGAACAAAGTTTCTAATTAATGATATTTGTAATAGTTGAACATCAGCAAGGCATCACATTCATCCAA